ACGTCACTGGCGTTTGAGGGGATTAAGAGTGTTTTTGATAATTGGCAATGCCGTTTTAGCGAGAGGTCTATATTTGTGACTATGAGAGAAGACAACTCAATCATTTTTATAAAATTGATTGGCGTGAACCTGCCATAAAGTGTGTATAATAACTACTGGCTTTAAGTATAATCACATAAAATTTATTTGTTTTGTCCGCGGTTTCAGAAGTGGGGGATCTGATAATTGAGCGACGAAGTCCCGAAAACCAAGCATCGCTTAGTGACGTGAGAGCGTGTTGCATTTTGAGTGACTTATTAACATATACGGAAACGTCGCCGAGATCAACCTGAGACACTGTAAGCCAGCATACTATAAGGAAATCAAGCTCGCACAGTATAAGAAATTCGGTGGACAACCGTAACTGCAACGAAATCTCGTTATTGGTATGTAGGGGTGATGATTTTCCGTTTCAGAAAATAGCAAATTCTGTTTTAAGTTTTTTTAATTCCGTTATTTTCCGTTTCAGAGCTGACCATATTCCGTTTTTTCGAGATAAAATGTTATTTTATGAATAAATGAATAAAACATCTTAAAATGCCTTTTATTACAAAACGGATCATTTTAAACCAATGATAACAAATGTTGAATTGTGAATGACTTGTAATGTTCAATGACTAGTTATTCTTTAAACCTGTTTCCCGAATTAAATAACAGAAAATTACATCTTGTGAGCTTGTTTCATCTTTTTAGCAGACGAAGCCATTTTTCTCAGCTGCTAGTTGTAGTCGCGATTTATCCAGACATCTTCGTAGTTACTACCGTACGGCATTAAAATAAGAAGTAAATGAAACGATTTTTACTTTTATGAAGTGACAGAAGTTTTTTTTAAAGACATATATACATTACAATGTTTAATTCAAGTTCAACTACAGAGTAATTGTATACAGGGATACATGAAAGACAGGTTTTCGTTTCGATTAAAATTATGATTCCTAAATGATGAAATGAAAGTAGCTAAATACTAAAATAGACAGTAACAAAACCACGCGATATCATTCAATATTTCCGATTTTTATGAATAAAAAGATGAAATACTTGGATAACTGCAAAATTGTTTTGAGTTTGTGATTAGTATCAGCAAATATCGGCTTTTCCGTCTTTTTCCGTGTGAGATTTCAAATTCCGTTTTGAGTAGACAATTCCGCAATTTCCGCGTTTTTTCCGCGATCACGGAAAATCATCACCCCTAGGTATGCACAGTGACACATTTCGTTCTACCAAACAAGGATTTTCCTTTCTCTTTTAAAGTATGCAATCATAAATGTGCTAGGAAATAACTGATAGATTCAAAGGAGCACAGAAACATACTTTCCAGTGATGTATAATACGATAACTGGAATTTTAACACCCGTATTTTGACATTTTAAATACTTGCCATTGATATATTACTTTTGACGTTTTACATTTGGCCGTCAAGGTACTTTGACTTTATCATTACCGGTATTAGGACTTTGTACATTGTACTTTTTACATATAATCAATCGACAAGACATTTTAGCAGAGCATTTAATATTGGCAGCTATACCCTTTCATAGACATGTGACTCGGAAACGATTTTTTTGGTATTATTATTTGGGTCATTCCTTGTTGAACTATATCCCCTTTGAATTTAGCTGATATTTTGTTTAGAATTGATGAAGAATAGTTTCAATTGCTATGTTAAATGTTAAAATATCAGGCCATTCCTTGTTAAACCATATCCCCTTCAGATTTTGCCAATATTTGGTTGAAATAAAAAAAATGTGTTAGTCTCAAAATATCAGGGCAATTCGTGATAAATCCCCAGTTAGGTAAACCATACCCCCTTTGATTTTGTTGATATTTGGTTTATAAACCACCTTTCAACTGGATGGCAAGACCATTAATCCCACCAGCAAAGCTAAGAATATTGGCACCATTATTAAATCACACCTCTCTTTTGATATTATTCTTGCAGTCTGTTCTTCATCATATTATCAACTTTATAAACTAGGAAAAATTAAAAATTATTTAAGCTCTGAAAACCTCAAACTTTTGATGCATGCTTTAATAACCACTAGATTGAATTATCATTCATAACGCTCTACTATACGGACTTCCCAAATCACAAATTCAATGTTTGCAACCTGTTCAGAATCCGGCTACACATCTACTTACTGGAACTCGGAAAATGGCCCATATCACCAAAATACTGAAAATCTTTCACTGGCTTTCTTTTGCATCAAAGAATAATATTTAAAATACTCTTGTTGACCTACAAAGCTATTAACAACTCTGCTCCATCCTACATCAAAAATCTCATCTTCACATATATTCCAGGAAAATGTCTACGATATTCTTCAAGACATCTCTTAATAGTACCATCTCTTAATAGTACCATCAATGAGCTTAGAAATGACCAGACGTTCATTCCAGTACTCTTCTGCTCAATTGTGGAATTCACTACCCATCATGTAAAATAATCAAAGTCTGACTGCATTTTCAAAACAAGACTGAAAACTCACCCTATGGATGAAATGGAACCAAAATATGTAACTTTGGAAGCGCGTTTGGAACTCCTAATACAAGTATTTATTGCGATTTGGATGTTATGTTATGTTTTGACTGGAAAAGTTGATATTCTGAATTGTACAAACAGTTCCCAAGATATGGACCCTTCAAATTTGGGGAATTTGTCCAAAACTGAATTCAAAGAAAAGCAAATTTTCTTCACAACACACTGCATGGTGTAGGCCTATTAGCCTGGTTTGTGCAGAAGAGTAGGACGTTAAAACCCATTTAATTTCATTTAACTTAATAAATTGCATGGGTACAGACTTCTTTATAAACAAGTGTGAGGAAGAAACCAGAGAATCTGGAGAAAACCCACAATAATAATCCATTTTCCATTTTTAAAGTTATTAGATCAATAAAATCAAAATTCCTTGGCTAAAAATATCCATACATGTAGTTGTGCCAAAAATGCCCAAATTCAACATTTAATTGTTTTACCATTGTATTATCTTTTGAACCTTTATCGTTAACCTTTTATATCATTTATCTTAATGGTTTAAAAAAAAATAATCCACAATCATGTTAGACATACATATTGATCTTTTAAAAAAATAAAAATTTTCAATATTTCTGATAAGAATACCAGATTAGCTTATGTACTTCTTAGTCTTCAAAAGAATGCTTCATCTTTTTAACTTTTTGGATGTGCTAGTAGTTAGTATCTATAAAATATGTACATCAAACTCAGTTCAAAGTATATTATGTTATCTAATACATTTTAAGGATTGCTATTGTAAATAATAAATCCTTCTTGAGCCTGGTCATATTAACTTCTGAAAAGATAACCACTCTATATCTTATCACAAAGTATACACATCATATCGGAACTGGGGTATACAAAATGGGGGAACACGTCAACAAGTAATTCTTGGGGGAAAAAATCAGTGAATTATAGGGTAAATATGATACTATTAGCTTATCCAAGGAATAAAACATAAAACTGCATCAATTAGTTATTCATTCATAGAGTCGATATAAAAGGCACGTGCCTCTTAAGTCAAAACTCAAAATGCCAGAATTTATTAAAATGACATTATTCCATAATGTTTTAATTTTGAGTTCTTAAATTTACTTAATTGCAATGTCTGCGATTAAGTATGGGTGAACTTGACTTATTGCAAGTGTATTTATTCAAACAAATATTTCCTGTATACTAGTTTTGAATTTAGTAAATGCTATTTTTGTCAGCTCAAGTTTATGAACTGTTGTTTAAAAACTGTTTATAATTGTAATTGTTTAACTGGAAAGTGGAAGTGTACTAAGCTAAAAGAAATCTATCAAATGGAAATCAAAATGCACATCATTTTTATATGACAGTCAGTTTTTAGGGTACAAATTACTTGTTGCTTTATGCTCTAAATTTGAGGTGCAATTTGTAATTAATGATTAACAGTTTTAGTACTTTCTACGATATCTAATGAGATAACACTCTTGATGGAAATTTCAATATTATTTGTCATTATTTTTTTTTCTCACAAGCTTCTTTAACTAGATCAGAAAGCTATTCGACAGGGTAAGGTGTTCATTAAAATTCAATTCTGAATTTGATTTTGAAGAGCCAAGGAGATTGACAGTCAACATTCTGACATGAGGAACATATATTATATAATTTAAACAGTACACTAATAAATTTATTTATTGTATTTACTAAAATCAATTGATGTAGTCTTACTTAACAACAACAAATATTTATTCATGTGTTCATAATTCATAAAATCCACAGTTACAAATAACAAATAAAGACAGTAGTATAATGAATGTAATGATGTAGAAACAAACATCTATTGTCATCAACAGGATTTAATTTTCATAAGACAACCTGGTCCAGGATTCCCCCCAAATGTTCTAGATTTTATTGTAATCTACAGATTTAAGATCAATCAAGTGTAAAATTTCTCAAATCATCCATGATTTAAATTTATAATGCCATTTATCCTTGTTAACAATGGAAATTTATAGATTTCAAAATCGGTTGTCTGTGAGTACGATTGTCTGATCTAATGAGCAAAATAATTTACATCAGACATCTCTTAAACAATTCTTTAACTGCATCAATGTTAATAAGTAACCAAATTTATTAAGTGCTAAACTTTGGGGTTTCTAAACAATACATTTCTTTTATTTTGGTTCTAATACACTACTTTTAATGAAGGAAACATTGTTTTGTAAAAATTTCATGGGACAAGGAACATGTTTTACAAAATGAAAATCTGAAATTAAAGTTATTAACTAAATAGCCATAGACTGTTTTAGATATTTTCAAGCCTTTGGCTGTTTAAAATTCTGGTATTGAAGTAAACTTTTGTTAAATGATTCTATTGAAATATATAGTGAGGTATTTTAGGGGTAAGATCGACAGTGTATCTTGGTTTAAGAGAGATAGCCTTGTTATCAACACAGCTTGTGTTTCAGAGTGTGAGAAATTCAACCACCTGTGTACCAGTATTTGTTACCTATTATAAATCTATTGTAAGTTAACGGAGTATACTTCTACTGTTTTTGTATGCTTCAATAAGTTACCAGTTGATGTGTGGAAAGTATATAATATCCTGGTTAACAGAGACTTTTTTTAGTTGGTATTCAGGCATCTTTCTAAACAAAATGATGACTTTAAGCTAAGGTAAGAAAGATTTAATATCTTCTATCATATAAGCTGTGTGCATCATATAATTGCATGTAAAATCATTAGGTCACTGTTAGAATTCAAAGTAATAAGTAGAATATATTTTTTAAATAATAGCCTATAATTTGCATATCCAGATAACTAATTGTCTCATTCTAACAAATTGAAATTAGTTAAAAGGACAATCAGTGAGGTCCATTCAAGTTAAAACATGTCACATCTAAACAAATTGTTTACAGAATACTGTAATCCTATATAAATTGAAGGAATATAATTCCACTACCATTGTTCTAAAACATTGAGAAGAAATATTTTGGTAATTTACAGTTAATTTAGATCATAATCACAGACCATAATTTTGCAGTTTTAATTTGTTTATTTCAAGAAAGTGACTAAAATGATATCTTTGTGTAGGCCTAAAAAAGACATGTGTTGGGGGTTAGCCAATTGCAATATTCATAGATATTTTTATTATTGGTAATAAATCTCTAGTGTGATTTTATCTTTTACATACATTGTTGTATTTCCAAACAGATAATTAATTTAAACATCTCAACTTTGCAAAAACTATCATTTGAAACTTTGGGATGAATAAAAAGATTGTAGCCAAATAGAATTAGCCCCCTTCTATCACCTTGTGTCTCTTTAAGGTTGACGATATAAAGTTTTGATCAGCGTAACTTTTACCTTTAGTTAAGCTGCTACTCAAGTTGTTTAGGAGAGTTCAGCTACTTACGTGAGAAAAGGGTGTATGTAAATGTACTGCACGGACAAACCTGAGACCAAACAGATTTATTATATAATTGTGTTAATGTAATCTGTGTTATTCAAAGTACAATAATTCTGTTACTCGAATCTGATCAATTCAAAATCACTAATAAAATAAAACCAAGGTAGTTATAAATCTCTTTAGCTAGTCAACATATAGTAGGCTATTGATAAATATAATATCTGCATCACAATACTCTGACAAGTTTTATAAAAAAAAAGCTTGATACTGATATGAATACTAATCTGGTGTATATAAATGGGGTTAGATCGAATTCTAGTACTGCTTATCTTCGTTTGAAATATATGCGCTACAATTATGTTTAATAAACAATAGCATAATGCAAAATGCTTCCTTAAATTTAGAATTATAAATTTAAATTTATTTTACAACATATGTATTCTATAAATATCTATCTTTTATGATTCTAAGTTAAATAATTTGCATAAACTTTATTCTGAACTCAATGTTTATTTTATTGCTATGGTAACACTATAACAACTAACGACATAAATAGAAAGATATAAATCTTCATCTAATGAAGGACTTTAGTATCATGGTATCCTAATATAATGATCAAACGAACCTGTCACTTTTTGTAAGTTCATTAGTTCCGGTGAGTGGTACTGAAAAGCTTTAGTTCTATTAAGAAACAATAGCTTTAAAATCGCCTTAACAATTGCACTACCTGCTGAGATCAATACAAGTTTATGACACCTTAGCTTTAACAGCAATTGCATGAAAACATAGCGGTTATAAACAGCATAATAAACTGTTGTTGATTTAAAGGTGTTAATATCTTTGATGTAGTAAATATTTGAAGAGAGTAACCATGTTTTCCACAAATAGCCAGTTGTCTTAAATACTAAACACAATACAACCAACTGAATAACTAACCAGAACAGAGTTCAATAACTGTACACAAAATGAATTATCTCTTTGCATTTCATATAAATTGTGGGTGCCATTTTTTTAAACTAGCGGTTGCCAGGCAAGATACGCCCACATTTTGCAAGAGATGGATAGAGAACAAGGTAAAAAAAAAAAAGCGATTTTTCGTAAAATCACGGGCCATAATCCAGGAAGTTACGGTCTTATGATTCCTGAATATCAAAAGGAACCAAGATCTTTGGGTTATAAACATAGATTTCAAGTTTCATCAAAAATGGATAAAAGTTGTGACCTCTAGAGGGTCCACAATCTACATACTTTTACACTATTTGAAATTTGAACTCGAACAACATTATAATGGTGATATATTTTAACGTTTTTTTAAATCGGATAAAAATTATGACCTCTAGCTAAAAAAACAATGCAAGGATATCGAAACGATCTTTGGGTTATAAACATGTATTTCAAGTTTCATCAAAATCAGATGAAATTTGTGACCTCTTGTGTGTCCACAAGCTAAAAATGTGATTTTTTTGTACAAAACGTTATTTTTCGTACAAAACGTGATTTTTCTTACAAAACGTGATTTTTCGTACAAAAAGTGATTTTTCGTACAAAACGTGATTTCTGGTACAATCAGGGGCCATAATCCATGAAAAAACTGTTGAAAGGAACCAAGATCTTTGGCAGATCAATCTATATTTCAAGTTTCGTCAAAATTGGAGGTCGAAATGGACAGGAGCGACAACAATCATAAAATTAAAGCTAATAACTGATACTAACCTTTTCATCATAACTACCAATAACTAGGAACTGTGAAGTAGGTGACCAGGCTATAGATTTTATACCCAATGCCCAATCATATGCTGAATATTTTGATAGGCATGTGCCATCAGGATGGTATATCAATACTTTATACTGAAATAATAATATTCAATCTTTATAACCTTAAAACGATAACAAAATAAATCTGGTAACAACTGTCAGAACAAATAAAACAGTTACAGATATATCATGCTACATTCTAGAGACAAATATCACATAACAGCACTGGAGACATCATCATATGGTGTTTTACATTGTTAAACAACAATAATCACATACAACATATGATACTTTTAACTACCTCATTACCGACAAAATGTGATACTATCCACTGCCTCAGGCTACAGACAAAATGTGCAACTTTTCATTCTGAACTATTACAGAAAACATGGTAATACTCTTCATTCTGACAAAATCACAGAAAACATTGTAATACTCTTCATTTCAATACATAACAGAAAAAATTGTTACTTTTTACTGTGACTATCACTGTTATATGTTAAGCATAGTCCTGACAATAAGTACTTAGTATTCTTCATTTGACAAAAGTTTTGTTTGTTTTTTTATTATGAAATTGTTTAAACATTAAATTCATATCACTTCAAGTCAATAGATATACATATATTACATATTGTATTCTATTATTTGAAACGGTCAACTGTTTTTTGGTATGTTTAACAACCTACACAGATGTTCACTCAATAGAAATAATTTAAAAGGAAATATGAATCTCACTGGATATAAAATTTCATCACTATACGTGCCAGTAACCACTACTTCTATAATTATTGTGTTAGCTGAGAAATATTTTAAGATCTATCAACAATGACAAGTTGTCTAAACTACAAGCATTTACAATACTAATTATCTATGTTTTTATACAAAGATTTGACTATTTTAATATGAAGATATGATGACAATGGTTGTATTAAGAAAATCCTAAAGTTGACTATCGAATGTGTTTTCTTAAATTATATAATAAGTCCCGAAAAAGTCACCCTAAAATTAAAGACTGCAAAAACTCGTAGAGTAGAAAATCAAGTGAGAAGACCCCTACCATTTGTAAATGATAATAAAACTGGTTGATAGTGACTTGATAAAGTATCAAAGCAACCCCATTGGGTTCCTACTGGGTTTAAATATTATCACCTTGTAAGTAGGTATAAATAGATGTGGTCAATTTGAGCTATCAAAGCAAAAACAATTTACTTCATTTAAATTCTAAGGAAATGGTCAGTCACCCCTGTTTGTGACAATCAGGACACAGTAGTAAACCTTTTGTACAATATATCAAATAGAACATTGTATAGGGGAGATTAATTTAATATTTAATTGGGTTTAAGGAGATATCAATCATCAGATAGTATTTCATTTCTCCATTAATATTTATTTCTTAGACACACAAATGTTTTTTTCCAGATGATTTCAATGTAAAAGTGTCAATATATTGGCATATTATTAATAAAACGCAAAAAACTGATCATAATAATGTTAAATCTAATATCACAATTATTTATTCACCAATTTCAGAATAAATGAATGAAAAGAATTTGAATTCATCATCAAAATATTCTTATTATATTTTCAGAAAAATTTGGTCATGGCAATATGAAGATAGATGTTTAATATTTAAAGGGTTCTGTCATCAATTGTGGTCCGTCCATATTCTACTGCCAATCATGAATACATCAAGTTTTACATATAATCCTGGCTGTAGGTATGTACACAATATACTTTCTTTAAGAAGTTTTGATCTTCAAATATAACTAGCCATTGTTGCAAATGAACAAATCAAACTGCAACAGGGCAAAAGTTCATGTTTATGTTTGTACAATGTGAACATTGTCTGGAAGAATTTTTTGTTTGCAAAACTTACTACATGTGTCCTCTTACTTTGTTATCAACACAGTCATTTACTATCCTCCTTGATGCCTCTCTGTAATGTCAAGAGGTCAATAAAACATTCAGTCAATTTATATAGGTATAAACTTTAAATCGGAACATGATATAATTAAGTAGCCTATTAAATGAGCCTTGATATGGAATACAATTACTGTTTATTACTAATCTTATTGTCTTATCTGTGTTGCCGATTTCCTACTAAAATAGACCTAAATAAAACAGAGCATGAAATTTTTGTGCTGCCAAATGATAAAGCTCTCTTACGTCATTGTACAATTATGCGAGGATATCTTGGCTAATGAAGTTATTGTAATGTGCAATGTGGTTTTCATTGAAGTAGGTTGATCAAGCGTTGACCAATAACAACCTGATAATGGTTATATACACTTATAATTTTTGCATGTCTTGTTGACAGCTTTTGTATGGTGCTCACTGCACAGAGCTTACATAAAGTAAATTCCAGACTAAACTATCATTCATTTAGCTATAAAAATATGGAAAATGACATGCATGATGTAGAGTATGCTTTCTTGAATACCGGATATTACTTCTTGTTACCTAACATTCTTCCCACAAATCCTAATATTTTATTGTAATAATAAACCTAAAAGCACCTTAGATCATGGATGTTGTATTAACTGTAGAGTTTATACCTGTCTTGGTGCAGATCACTTTGATCAATAGTATTCTATGAATAAAGCAGTGTATTATAATAATATTGGATTTATGGTATAAATATTGGTTATTAAAGTAAGGTCAGCGTGTGATTTAGTTTGTCTCATCCATCTACTGTCATGTTCTGTGAATAGTTGACACAATGGATCAGCTTGCCCGCAAACAATAAAACTTAACTCCAGATCAATGATGTGCAGTCAAGTGACCAATAGATCAACAATTCACCTTTACACTTCAATATTAACCTTCCCCATTTAATCTTAACTTACAACACTGGTGTTATTTTTAACATTTAATCATGTTTGACTTTAAAACTCCAGGCCATAAAAAAAGCTCTTGTCAAAAATCTAATAAAGATTACTGGTACTGTCTGGTAAATTCATAATCTTATTATCAGATGACTACAATAATTTTAAAACCTGATACCATATAAAGAATGTTTTATATCTGGAGGGAAAAAGGTTAAATACTGTTTAATCCTTATCCATAGATTCATTATTCTGTTTTGTCTTATCCATAGATTCATTATTCTGTTTTGTCTATCTTTTAATGGTTAAATATTTAATGTGTAAATGGTTACTACAATTTTTTCTTCTTCTGGAAAAGTTTCACTCAGTGGAAGTAAGGCTATGAGTGTAATGGATAAGTTACATTGTAATATTGCATATGTATTCACAAACTACTGAAAGTAAATATAATGTGCCTGAATAATTACAGATGGATTGCTCAAGATTTATCAGTTAATGTTTTCAGATTTTGGAGGGTGAAGGAGTAGTTACAGCACTACCCTAACAATACTTCCCTTTGCTCGACAAATAAACATTTAAAATAAACCATATACTCATAAATTAATACTGCTTTAATGAAAGCAAAACTATTGGTTTTGTCCATTATTGTACTACCAAAATTGTTTGACATGACCATTAATAATGACAATAAATCAAATTAATAGGATGGATTATCATATCAAAACTATTCTTGTTATTGACATGTGATTAGTCAAATATTAAACATGGACAGAATAACGAAATAATGTGATAAAGGGATTACCCTTATAACATGTTGAAAACAGACGTGGATTAGAAATTTAAACATTCCATATTTGATTCTAGCTCAGCACATCAGTTTGTGAGCTCCAAACCCAAATTATTGCTCCATTTAATGTGTTTACTATCTCTGCAATATGTGGTCCTACTTCTAAATTATTTAATTTTAGTTACAGTCATCAAATTTTAATTTATTTCAAGCCACCCCATACATAACACTAAAATTTGAAACATTCTAATTTTGGCTTGAAAAGTACTTACCTTTAGTTCAGACTCCCAAATGCATAAAACCCAGTCATTAGGGGACCAGTTTACACCAGCTAAATCGTCTGTATCACATTCAAAATTCTGAAATGTTATATTATAATGTACTTAGCTTATGTCAGAGTATACGAACCATACATTTATCAATGGCGATAGTATTAGTATAACTGTAAAATATCTGTCTTTGATCCCATCTAATACCTCTTTATTATATTATATCTTATTCGTATTATAATCAGAGAATAATAACTAATAATAACGATATTTAAGTGTAATAGAACACAGAATGAAAATGATGAGTACATTGTACCTTTAACAACGTCCAGTTATCGCAGGCAAATATACTAATAAAATCACTACAATCTCTCCGCTCTGCTAATGCCATAAATTTACCATTATTACTGAAAGCTACACCTGTAATATACATTGATCATTAGATTTTTATAATATCTAACAGTAAATAAATGTTTTAAAAATTTGCTTATTCCTAATAATATATATATTAAGTTATGTAACTGTTACACTGCACTGAAAGTGTTACTATTGACTGAAATGCTCTATTTGGGAAATGAGATCTGACTTTGATCCTGGAAAGCTTTATTTTTAGTGAATATCAGTACGATAACCAGTACAATAACCAGATTCATTCACAAATTTCTATTTCAAAATGGCATGGCTTAGACAGTATCTCGCACTTTCTGTGGATGTTTTGACACTGCTATTGGGATTAAATAAGCTATGTGAACAAGTAATTTAGTCTACTCAACATTTTGTTCTTGTTTTCAAGGTAAATGAAAATGAAAATGAAATGGGGTTTAACATCCTACTGTTCTGTTCAGACTGGGCTAATGAAGATGAGCATGCACCATGCAGTGTGCTATGAGGGAAATTTTGTCTGGACAGAGGTACGACAACATGCTCTTATATTTCGAATTACAACAGCCAGGAGATCTTTTACGTGCACGTTAATGTGTACACAGACCTTGGTTTTTCATCCCATCTGATTCTGAAAGACTAGACAGCTGTCCATGTCAGGAAAACCTTCCTGCACCACTGACAAGGGTAAAAACACTGGAAAATACCAATGAACTTTCTGGGCCAACACAGGGAGCAAACTCGCAACCTCTGGTCTAGCAAGCCTGGCTCCTGTATTTAAAGTACATGTCACTGTAAATTGGTGTGGTACACAAGACTATATCAAAAGTAGTACCAGAAACCTATTCCAAAACACAGAGAAAAACTGAAATTTCCTCTTGTTTTTTTTAATACATTCGAGTCAAAGACTCAGGCACAACAAAGTGTTAAATAGCTTCCCATGGCCTACAAATTCCATAGATATAATCATTTAATTTAATCATTATACCAGTACTTACTTTTTTCACACTGTTTAGGATATCGAATATAAGAAACAGATTTAGATAATAATGACCATACCGTTATTCTTATCTGAAAAAAGTTATAAAACAAGATGATAGATACTAATTAATATTAATTATAACTGGAATCAATCACATAGCTGCACAGTTAAATGAAGAAATATGTCGGAATTATCAGACCTTAACGGGGTGCTGCTACAAATAATAATACACATAATTTGATTGTCTCTATGCTCATTCTAAAAAGATTTAAAGTCAAATTAAGAGGGATTATAACCCATACTGTCATTAAGGAGCTTTTAATCCAAGGGCATAATAAGATTAAAGAAGCTCTAAAAGGATTATCTATAAATTTGTATTATTAAGTGGACTCAATATGCTGAGTGTATTTCTAGACATGATGACACTATCTAATTTAAATACAGGTGTTTTCCACTTTCTTAAAAGAGCATTACATAATATGAAACTAATCTTTTGAACACAATGAAAAATAAAATGTTAACTCATTCGAACTCAGTGTCTTAAACATGGTAAGTTGCTTTCTGTTACTGTTTTTGATATGAGGCTTGTTAAGTATGTACTTGAACGCAATTTCTAATTTTTTGTAACGAAAAAATGGATGATTTTTGTTCAACTATACCTCATAACCAAATAGCTAGTTTAGTATCTCACTTATTGAAGGGATGTGAAACTATCATTTTCATTGGATCTTTCGGTACAGTTTTATTGCCCTTAAATTCAAATGAACTTTACAATTGGTTGAGAATTAGCTGAGATAACGCATTTTTGGAAATGGGATAAATATTGGCATATTAATAAAATTGATAAACACAAATAACTTAGTCTCTCATTTTCAGCTGAAGTATTTTCAATCCCTTGTAAACTATGTTATAGTGAAAGATGGGTCTCTTAAAAGAAATATCACTTCAAAAATGGTTCAATTCTGTTCACTATTTACAAATATATGATGAATTGAAAATTTGTCAACACTCTGCATGCTATTCAAAGAGGGAACCATGGTGGCTCAGTAACTAAGGCACTGCCTGACTATAAAGGTGGTTTCAGATTCGATCCTGGTGTTGGTTCACAAAAATCCCCAGGATTTTCAAGCATAGTTTCCACTTCTCAATGATGTAGGAAGGACCACTTGGCAAGGAACAATGTTTAGTCATTCAGATGGGACTAAATCAAGAAGTCCTGTGTACCTATTGGTGTGCATGTAAAAGAACACTTTAAAGTTGGAATTTGCTGAAGAGTAAGTGGAAATGCTGCTGTCCAGGCAAAATTTCGCTAATAGTCATAGCACAGTGCATACATGGCGTATGCCCATCTTTATTAGCCCGGTAGGTGCAAAAAAAGAAGGATGAAACACAGTCAAAACAAGTCATCGACACATATAATATTCACCAAATTATTTTGATGAGCCTCTTTCTAATCCAGTTGCATCCAAGATGGGAGAGTTATTTGCTTTTTTTATTAAGTGTTAAATAATCAATTTAAGTATATATCAGCTGCATTAAATTAGATATTATCTGAAAAATGCAAATGATGATCAGCAGCTTTAAATTCTTCCAAAAATCATATTTTATTATTACTCTTGTAAATTTCAACAAAACATTGAATATGGTCATATTTTTATGTAACATAAACTTGGTAGTTCACTGGTGTTTGAGTTTGCTTACATTGAAATCTGCTGTAGTTAGAATATGTCTTCCATCAGGACTCCATATAGCTTTACTTAAACCTGCTGGTCCTTCATTTATTTTACATATCCATTCTGGTTGCTCTACTGACCATACCTACATTATGAAAACAGTATAATTTATGTGAAAAATTCAGGGAACCTTTTTCTAAAGGATGATCTAATATTTTTAAAGAGGCATTTTAGTCCTTTGCAAACCTACACAAGTAATATGTTTTTGAATTACTATTTGACAATATAGCTACACCAGTAGTATTAAAATTAGACAAATCTGCCATTACACAGCCTACATGTAGCTTTTTCAAGATTAATTCAATCTTAATAAAAATAGCCATTACTTGCATTCTATTTATTCTGGGGGTGGTGGGTAGCTGAATGGTTAGCACGTACGCGCTGTACCATAAAGTCTGTCATTGAGTCAACTGGCGTAGTTTCGAATCCCCAGTTGTACGTGGCAAGGAGTAGGTCGCCTGTCCAACCTCATGGGTTTTCTCCGGGTCCTCCGGTTTCCTCCCACTGCTAAAGACCCTTACGCGCAAGTAAATTATTGAAATAAAATTAAACCATATGTTAGTCCCAAAATGACCTAGTCTGAGTCGAGTGGATGTTAAACCTCATTTCTCTCTCTCCAATACAAGGAATATGATTATGGACAGGTTGATTTAATTAAATTATTTACACTTAAATGGGTTGAAAAATTGGTAAAAACACAAAAATAACTATTACTTGCATTCTATTTATTCTGGGGGTGGTGGGTAGCTGAATGGTTAGCACGTACATGCTGTACCATAAAGTCTTTCATTGAGTCAACTGGCGTAGTTTCGAATCCCCGGTTGTACGTGGCAAGGAGTAGGTCGCCTGTCCAACCTCATGGGTTTTCTCCGGGTCCTCCGGTTTCCTCCCACTGCTAAAGACCCCTACGTGCAAGTGAATTATTGAAATAAAATTAAAACCATGTGTTAGTCCCGAAATGACCTAGTTTGTGTCGAGTGGACGTTAAACCCCATTTCTCTCTCTCTCTCTATTTATTTTGATGGTCACTAAAGTAAAACAATAGACCTTTTGAAAGAAAAGTGCGTTCTGGACATGTGACAACAGTATCACAGAACTTTGACCAATTATAACTTTCCCATTATTGAATGCAATTTTTCATAAAGAAATATACTACGGAACAAAATGTTGGTATAATTTTAATTGGACTGGGATTGATTAGGAGTCATACATCCAAAGGTGGTTTGTGGACAATCATGCAAAATGCTTTGCTCTAACTGTGAAGGGGACTGTATTTTGATTTTGAGTTAGTGTGAATTATGAATATAAAAAAAAATAATCAATACACTTAGTTCCTTATCAAAAATGATAATGCCTCTTTATTAAAAATTAGTAAACTAAATTAAAATTAGATTCACAGACTGTAACTGAATTTGTCTTTTATCCTTTTCTTGCTGGTACATGTAGGCTTACTTGGGGTCCCAGTTTGTTTTTCCAAACAGAAATTAAATGGGTTCATTGATCGTAATAACTTTCCAAGACAGTCTATTAACAAAATTAAATATGATGAATCTTGGTGACTGAAAAGTTTAAATTAACATAGTCGATTGTGTGTTTGAAAGACTGAAATCGCCCTAAATGAAAAAGTGTAGGTTGAGTTGGTGCATAAACCTTAAATGGTAATTTGTAGTTTCCTCAATCAGAATTAAAACAAGACCAGTTTGGCAACTTACTTGAACTACAGATCTTTTAAACATAGCACATAGAATAAAACCAGAATCATTGGACCACTGAAAAAAATAATATAAGTATTACAAAAACTTTATCACATCACAATGTCTTTTCTCCCAATATCATTAAAATAAATAAAAAAAATTCATAAAGGCTGTTAAAGGAGAATGTTCATATAAATATGCCATGAACTATAATTGGTATTGATAGGAAATATTTTTTAGAAGTAATAATATGAAAGACATTCACCTCAATATAATTGATTGAATCAATACAGGAGAAAACATTTTCAATCTGTAAAGTGTCAGTGTTTCTTATGACTAGTCTGTAGTCAACCGCTGATGCCTGAAAAAAATTTATAATAACTAGTCCTCTACTTTATCTTTTTTTGGAATAAACCTAAAGACACAAAGAAAAGAAATAATAAATTGTGGTAAGCAGGTCACATGTAAACTTTTATTATTTTAAAGCTAAAAATATCATTCAACCCATATCAAATTAAATAAGTGTATATTTTGAAAATATTGTGACATTTTTGATAGATCCTTCACTTTAAAGTATACATACAGTCACTGTAATTGATTAAGCAAAGAAACAAATCAATTACCTTAAGTGGAGTGTATTCTTTAAATTACATGGTAATTACTTTTTATTAGCCAATTAAACAAAGATACAACACTCTAGGCCTATATATATATACTTTGATCATGTCTGCTCCACGGGTCCAACTATGTGGTTTTTACCACAAGCACTTCACTTTTCAACATAAAGCAAGCGGATTCTTTTTCCCAACGGGTTTTTTTTTCTATCTGCACTGATAATGCCAAACATCAGTCAGTTGGACCTCCTGTTTTAATTTGTTTTTATTATGACAAAGAGAGAAGATAAGCTGCCCGCTCTTATCAGTGACTTTTTGGTTTACAAGGACTTTTTTAGGGTTTCACACTGTGTAGCTTGTGTGAAACACTATTGTTTTTGTTCGGATTATTATTCTTATTATTATTTTTTTTTTCCATTTTGATCATATCTCAGAAACTACCTGTCGGATTTATCCAATATCTTCGGTTTCACTGGGAAAGTGGGTGTGACTTAGAGATTAAAGCTATTTTGAACGTTCTGTGACAATGCGAAACGTTCGAAATCACCGAAGTGGTTAATTTTTGAAATTTTGTCGTAACATTTACAATAATTGCCGGATTTTAACATTTGATACATTTTGACATAGGCAGAGACATGGCACGTAGCTACGGTTCCTCAGATTCTTGATTTTCGATGAATCTTCGGAGATATTAGGCGCCAAATTTTGAAAATTTAAATTTTTACAAAAAACTTTTTTATTAATGAATATTTTTTGATGATATTTTATCCAGGGCTAAAGGGTCGTCTGATTTGAGCGAAAATGTCAACAATTTTTGTCTAAATAATTTTCCTTGGCCGCTATTGGCTAATTCGGTTTTACGCTCCTAGATTCATTCAGAATCGTTCGATTTGTTTGAAACAAAGTTCATATTCTCCGTGTTCCAAAATGTCATTTTTTTTGTTACCGATAAAGTTTCCTGTCGACACCGGAAGTGGCATAATTTCAACAAAAACTATAATTTTGACAGTTCGGTACCACTTTTTGAAAGCAAATATTATTTTTTCAAAATTTGTTATTACCAAATCGATGCGCAATGCAAAGGCGCACAAAACATCGGACTCAGTTTTTTTTAATTTCGATTTCGTTTTCGGGCTATTTCGATTAAAAGGTGAAAAAAGGTGTAAAATTAAGCTATTTACAACCCACTCAGCGTCTTAATATTTTAAAATATTTCTTCGTAACTTTCATAAACTCGTAGCAACAATCCATATGAAGAGAATGTATGTGAAAATTAGTTTGTAATATGAGCAGTTGCCGAGAAATGGGTAATTTTGCATGAGTCACTTTTTACGCTAGTTTGCCTGTAAAAGAGTCAATTATTATTCGATTTTCATAAAAGTGACACCATTTGATGTGTAATGTCAATTTTAACTAGATCAAACCAATTTAACATTTTCAATGTCACCGGAAATGACGTAATTTGGGCAAAAACTGTATTTAGAGCCATTAAAACCAATAATTTATTCAAAGAGTCGTATTTGTTATTTGTTTAAAATTTTGATATTTGATTCCAATTAACTAATAGAATGAACACATACGATCAAATAGATATCACAAAATGGTTTCTAACTTGTTCAGTTGCGGAGAAACAGACGATTGTCAACAAGTAACTTTTCAAGGTTTTTGGTCCATAAAAGTTTCAATTATTATTCGATTTTCATAAAATTTCCAGTGTGTGATACCTAATGCCATTTACGATTTCATGCAAGTAATTTAAGATTTTCATTATCACCGGAAGTAACGTCATTTTGGCAAAAACTGTATTTTTAGCCTTCGAAACAGATATTTTATTCAAATGAGTCTGATTTGTAATGTTTTTAAAATTATGATATTTGATTCCAATCAGCAAATAGATTGAACCCATACGATCATACAAATACCAGAAAATGGTTTCTAACTTGTACGGTTGCAGGGAAATAGACGATTTTCTACAAGTCACTTTTCAAGGTTTTTGGTCTATAAAAGTGGCAATTATTATTCGATTTACATAAAATTTTCACCATGTGATGTCTTTTGCTATTTCTGATTTCATAAAACTAATTTAACATTTTCATTATCACCGGAAGTAATGTAATTGTGTCAGGATCACTTACATGTAACAAATGTATACAATGACTTGATTCTGCTGGATTTGGTTGATTCTGCGTACATTTTATTTGATGTGTGCAATGCTTATATGGAAAGTGACATAAGTTCAAGGGTAACGGGGCACCGGTGAAACCCGTCATTACTGCATCGCAGTTCTAGTTATTTTTGTGTTTTTACCAATTTTTCAACCCATTTAAGTGTAAATAATTTAATTAAATCAACCTGTCCATAATCATATTCCTTGTATTGGAGAGAGAGAAATGAGGTTTAACATCCACTCGACTCAGACTAGGTCATTTTGGGACTAACATATGGTTTAATTTTATTTCAATAATTTACTTGCGCGTAAGGGTCTTTAGCAGTGGGAGGAAACCGGAGGACCCGGAGAAAACCCATGAGGTTGGACAGGCGACCTACTCCTTGCCACGTACAACTGGGGATTCGAAACTACGCCAGTTGACTCAATGACAGACTTTATGGTACAGCGCGTACGTGCTAACCATTCAGCTACCCACCACCCCCAGAATAAATAGAATGCAAGTAATGGCTATTTTTATTAAGATTGAATTAATCTTGAAAAAGCTACATGTAGGCTGTGTAATGGCAGATTTGTCTAATTTTAATACTACTGGTGTAGCTATATTGTCAAATAGTAATTCAAAAACATATTACTTGTGTAGGTTTGCAAAGGACTAAAATGCCTCTTTAAAAATATTAGATCATCCTTTAGAAAAAGGTGCCCTGAATTTTTCACATAAATTATACTGTTTTCATAATGTAGGTATGGTCAGTAGAGCAACCAGAATGGATATGTAAAATAAATGAAGGACCAGCAGGTTTAAGTAAAGCTATATGGAGTCCTGATGGAAGACATATTCTAAGACAGGCTCCTTGACACATACAAGCGGTGTTTCAAAACCACGCCAGTTGACTCAAAGACAGGCCTTATGATACAGCCCGCATGTGCTAACCATTCAACCCCCCCTCCTTGTACTATTGGAGGTTAAATCTGTAATATAATAAACAACACCAACAACATGCCTGCTCCCACACTGATCCGCAGTGAATATTTGCTAGGCCGCGACAATCACTGACAAGGATGACTGAATGAGGCACAAATATTAACTTTTTTCCTTCAACAAATTAAATTCTAAAAGATCTTTTTCATGTATTAGAAAAATAAAGACATTTGAAGTATTTGTAGGTAAAAATTATTTCCTATTTTAGTGTAAATGGGTATTATTAAAAAAATGAGTAAAAGGTGCCAAATTTCTCACATTCTGCTCCAATCAGTAACATCTTATGTAAACAATGCACGCGCCATTGAGCCAATGATTGATGCCGCGTGATATGACGTCATGTGTTGAAGGCAGTCATCTTTTATAGAGATACTAGCAGGATACCCGGCTTCGCTCGGGGGTCATAACCCCGAAACCGGAAGTGGTACGTAGACTAACGCCACCTGGCCTATGTTACTACCCGGCCCGAGCTACCCCTATGGCTATACCCCAAATTTCAGACTCGGGGCAGACCTAGTGTAGCTGCCAACCCCAAACAGACAGACAGACAGACAAACGACAGGCACAAATATTAGTATAGATTAGAAGACTTTCGTAATACACTGTGAAACAGATTGGCCTGCTCCATGCACCAGAGATTAGCTATTAGGTTTGCACTGCGTGCAGACTTAAAAGTTGAACTAATTTTAAGAATTTGAAACTGAACTTCTATATCTTAATCAAATATATCTGACTCAGGTGGACTTTTCTAATCAGGCTGTTACTAGGCCTAATTATACCAAATAATTAAAACTCAACACATGTCCAGTATTTGTTTTTTGCCTGGTAAAAAATATGTAAATAAACGAATCCTTCAAGTTAAAACAGTCACAGTCAGTGCTTACCAAGTATTTTCCATCCGGCGAAAATCGACATAACTGTCCAGATTGGTGGAAGAGTTCAGAGAAATTCATATTTTATAGAAACATAGTCGTGTGTCTGTGTTTTAGTGTCACCAGTAAGTACAGAATCTAGTGTAGAGAATTAATAGTAGAGGCTAATGCAGGCAATATACATTTTTGACAAGTGTGAACACGCGAATGACACCATTTTGAAAGCAGCGCCAATGTTCTTTTCTGCGTGATACGAGTTATTGTTCTTATTTTAATTATTTATGCAAACAGTAAATATAAGCATAATCTTAAAATACTGATGCCTTTTCTTGATGTCAGCGAACTTTCATATTGTTCATTATATACATTTATGGGGATTCTCTGAATGAAAATTGACCAAGCGCAACATCTCCCGCCAAAAAATGACAAGCGCGTGGCTACTTGCGTAAAAGGTTGGCGGTGGTGCGAAATAGTTCCAAATTTTTTCGAGCAAGGTTATCTGCTGTGATGATTTATAAACTGTTCGATGCTATTGTTGTTTCGATATATTTGTTTTAATGTTTAAAATAATATATTGACTACTTAGATCAACAGATGAGTGTTTTGTTTTCATTTTGGTGGCGTATGAATTTGTTCATAAGTCATAGCATGCCGATTATCAAAACACGTGGTCTAATGTTGTCACGCTCAAGTGTCTAAAAACAGAAATAATCGGGTAAGAAATATATTTTTTATCTCAAAATTTGAAATAATTACAGATCAAAGTTATGTTTTCAACTCTATGCAACTATATTGCATGTTCGAGAAAGCCAGAATATAGCTGAAAAATGTAAGCAAGTAGGACAAGAAGGGAATAAAATTGGCTGACACCAACCCTACTCAGTGAGTACTGTCATATAACAAGACCGGAATGATCTACGCCAAGCGTTGTATTGCAATCACAATAAAACGTTGCCTAAGTGAATCCATTGACAGTTAATTTGTTAAGATTGGTCCCAGTATTCCAAACTTGCGTTCATAATGATGACTGAAAATAATATAGGCTAAAATTTATGCGAAGTTTTGTCAAAATCATGTCTTAAACTTAAAGTTTAGTCATTATTGGATGAGTTTTAATTTTATTCTTAGCAAGTTACTGCCAGAATTGGTATATGTTATGATTATGATAGTCACGATGTATTGTATTTACATGTCATGTTTATCTAATATTTGAGACTTATTAGGTGGTCGAATTGTACTACTAGTACTATACTAGAGGATTATTTTGTTTTGATGATGTCATACACTGACTAACATAGTGCAACCATTTGGCCCACCTGCCAGTTTAGGAAAGTACATAATGCCACTAGGTTACATATTATGAAGTTTTCACATGGTTAAAAAAATTTTTTGTACTTGTGCATTAGGGCCTAGTTAAAGGAGCTAAATCGCTAACATTTGGGACCTAGAAATTGACAAAAGTGGGTCGCAACGCATATAATACTGTAATATGAATGTATATAAACTGATTTACATTCAATGGTTTCCGTTTTTCCTCCAATTTCAAATCAGTTATGTTCGGTGAAATAAGCCAGCAGTCTCAAGCGAGTGCAAATTCCTAGCGTCTGGTTATTCCAGTCTACATACGCCGTTTGATTTGGTGCAATGTGTCTAGCCTCGTCCCTCGAGTCTCTTGATACAGCTGGGGCTGGAAGCGCATTATGGTACACGATTCGTGTACCAATGGTAAAATGTTTATTTTGTCGTATATTGGATATCAAAAGGCCATCTTTTTCCGGTAAGATCACAACATGAATGTTGACAAATAAATCGTGTTTTCAATGTTGAAGATTTTGGATGATATTGAGTTAGAGACTTAGCTACTTTAAGTTCAGAAGTTGTTGTACCTGCATATATATTTGAACAAATGTGGCCAGATCCTTCTCATTTATTTAGGCTTGGTTGTACACATGAATGTCAGTCAAGTCGCCCACAAGCAAAGTCATCCACACGAAAATCTGGTGAAGTTGTCCACACAGCATTGATTGACTAATCCATGCGGCTTAGTGACGTTAGTGTGTGAGCCATCATAAATTTTAAACGGATTTCTTCGATTATAAACAAACTACTTAACTTTGGTTATTATAAACTTCGCAGTGTATATTTTGCCGTCCGATGGTTCTTTACTTTATTTACTATTTAGCTGTCACTTCCATTTGACATGCGCAGTTGTCTGCTTCCTGGACTTAGCAGTTTTCGCTTTGGCAATTGACATGCGCAGTTGTCTGATTCCTAGACTTAGCAGTTTTCGCTTTGGCAATGATGCCGGCTATTTCAACTCGTGGCCTATTTTACCTCTGACATTAACCCATGACCCTATAAACTCATAACCCCAATTAACAAACCAGGGCTAGAAATTCGTCATTTTTTGCGAGAATCTAAGAGGATTCTCATATACATGCAATATTGTATAAAAAACAAAATGATAAAATTAAAACGATCAGATGGAATTTTTGGTAAACACTTCAAGAACGATGTGAATTACACGTTTATTTTCAGAATCAAACCTAAACTTGTAGTATTCATTTAGTTCCTTACTCCATTTCATACGCCTTTTGAATATTTTCCATATTTAATTCACCTACCGACTTGAAGTTCACGTCGGTAATATTCCTGAAAAAATTACTGTTTTCATTTATTTGATGAAACATTCGTGTATTATCAGTCGATGATCTAATATATTAGCATTTTTCTACTATTCTCAGTATAAGAAAATGCCATAGCCAAAATGAGCTGATACAGCACCACATGGCATTTCTTCATAACACAATTTGTAGTCTTTTGTTTATCACATTACTAACAAAAGTTTTTATTCATTGTGGATGATAGACAAACGGCACAATGATCACGTGACAACCATAACTGAAATTGCTATAAAATAAAATTCTGTACGACTATGATATAGTCTTCAATAATGTCTTCAATAATATTTTAAAAATTAAGCCTCTGTCAGCATGTGTGTATAAAATAAATGCTATTTAGAACTTGTTTTTTGACCTAATTCCAACCGATATGTCACATGGTTTTGGAGATTCTGTCGGGGGGGGGGGGGGAATATCCACAGTTTCTCTCTCTGTGCATTCAGTGTTCCATCAGAGGATTATATTCAGTGAAGATTTAAATTTACCTAACAACTGGTCAGTGAATCCATCAATGTATGATCCAGTTATTATTTTAGTATCTGCCGGTACCTGGAATACACACGGACAGAGCGTGGAAGATGTGCAATTCACAAAGCATGCCAAGATCGTCTTGATTTGACATGTGTCTTACTGAACCTATTATAAATAATCAGCAAGCTTTTTTTTTCTTTTTTTTTTTAACCGGATTATCAAAATCACTGTTAAATGTGCTAATTACTCGGATTGTGAACCACATATGGCCGATTCTCACTAAGGTATGACTTGTGGCTGACAAGCAAGTTGATTGACTTCTTAATCAACGAGTAATGATTAACCTGTTGTAATTTAGCAAAGTAGATTGATTTATGATACAATAGTGGTCGGTACATTGTTTTACCAATCTGTTAGATTAAACATCGATCGGCTAAAGCTGACAAAATACAGCCGATTAAGAACACTGCCCATGACTGACATTTAATAGTTGGACTGAGATTTTTTTTTTTTTAAGACCATTTTTACGCGAATCCTTGGAGATTCGCAGCATAAGCTCTTACAAGAATTAGATACAGAGATTCGCTTGTATTCATAGCCCAGCAAAAAATATGACAGTTGTGAACTACATGTAATCTCGGCCGTTGTGTACGAGTTAAGTATTAGCTGTGGACGATTTAACCATTAGTTGTGGACGACTTAACTGTGGCAAACTTTGCGTGTGGACGAATTAACTGGCACCCGTACATATGTAGCTAAAATTATAAATATTTCCTGCACTTTTATTATAAATGCCATAAAAGTGATCACATACATGTACTGGAGATTGCAAATATCAGTATATAGATTGAATTAATAAAGTTAAATCTGTGTCACTAGAGACATGAGCCACCCAATAAACGCTTTCAACTGGTCCCTTCAAACATCTGACCGACAGTTTTTTTTAACTTTTGCTTCCACATAAGCGATATCACAGACATCCCTCATACATGTATCATTCACTTTGTTTATAGTGCTCCTGTGGCTTACAATACCTGTTTTATTTTCTGTTGTCTGGGTGACTAGCTAAATATGTTGGGTTTTTTGTGCATTTATCTGACTCCATACAGTATAACCTCAGTGAAATAAAATAGGGTTTACTGATGAAGACCACAATTAATAAACTTAGTGAGTTACCTTTAAATTGCACCTCACGATTTTATGATCAGAATAATCTGATTCAAATTGATTTATCAATTCTATTTTGTTTTATTTTCAGGTATGGTAAATACCTCAACCGTGCCTGCACCATGTCATCTTCACAGCTATCCTCGGGTAGTGCTGCATCTCATCCACCTATGTCACAGGACACATTTGACTATCTCTGGAGTACTTTAGGCGATGTTACAACAAATGGGTATGTGTTTTATATATTAAAGATGATCATTCAAAATAATATGAAATTTGTGAAAGATTTACGCTAAAAATGAGGAGAAACCAGAGTGTTTATATTGAGCCGGCTAATGTATCTATATTCTTATTGAGTTTGAATTTATTTATTTTAATAAAACATACAAATACCGTATTGTAGATGTTGCAATGTTATGCTATCATAAGGGAGACAACTCTAATCATATATTTAAAATATTCTTAAATTTACTAAGTTCTATCAAATTGCAGAGAATTTACCCATATTAGTTCTCGTGACCTAGATTATCATTATGGTGAACAAGAAGAAGAAGGAACTACTTTTCAAGTAGATCGCTATGCAATTAGAAATCCAGATTCTTCCATTGGAGACATTGTAAGTTAAATTACCTAACGTTGATGTAAATTTAGACTTCCCTATTTTCAAAGTAATTATATTGTTACAATTATTATTTTTTGATACATTTTTCCCACCCCTGAAGTTGAAACTTGACATTGTCGAGATCTGTCATCATAACGCATCCCACTCTTTTCTCCCACTAATAAATTATACATGTACATGCAAAATATACTCCTTAAACCAGAATTATTGTATTGTTTGATGTTTCTCATTGCAATGTTAATTTGGATTTAAAATATTACATCTTTTGAAAGTTATCGACAAAAGATTTAATGATAGTCTTTTAACACTAATTAAGGTATCCTGATTTGAAATAAATATTGCCTTGATAATTGGGGAATGGGGATGTATTCAAACACGTCAACAAAGTGATTTTTGAGATGGGCATCCAGTGACCGCCCTAGACTCTTAAAACCTTTAGCCAAATTTTTAGCCAAATCAAAATTTTATTAGCCAATTCAGAAAGTTTTAGCCAAATATTTTATATCATTTTTATTCATATGTTTGTTAATTAAAAATGAAAATAAATGTTTAATATGTACTTATATAGTACACAAGAATATTATTTTATCTCCTTGTCCATGCAAAAGTTCACATTATTGAGAGAATGAATGCAGATGATTTAATTTACTCCATCGTCATAACAGAAAAGACACAACGATTCTTTTTAAAGATGGGTTCCCAGAAAAGTATTTATGGGTGGTTATTTCCAATAAAAGTATTGCAATTTTGGTATATATGGAAAGTAGAGATATCCAATCTTACTAGAAAAATACTGGATTCCCCGAAAAACACTCATGGAGCGTATACAGGACAAAAATGTAAGGGTTCCCCTAATCAACAGCTCAAGGATTATGACCTTCTGCACGCACGATGTCAAAGGTCACAAGCGAACATTGAGCGCTTGATGTACAAGTTGATAAACTTTATGAAGAGTTAGACGTACAATACTTTCTGAGATAAAATTGACGGAAAAAGACGCGGGTAGTAGATAATCCGAGAATTTAATTTGGATTCGATATTTGTAATAAATAGTAAGCGATTAAAGACAACATCGACTTATGTATGCAATGATTTCTCCTCTGACTCCCAAGACGTGACGTAAACATGACCTGGTTTGATCGAATTTTAATAGCAGGGCATTCCTTCGCAATATTTGAAGCATAATTATGACAAATTAATTAGTTTGAATATGTTTTTGGTCCATATATACCATTAAATCACCCAGTTTGTAAGCGGGAACCCATCTTTAAGACACCGCTGATCAAATGCTCTGACAAATTCAAAATTTATGCTTTCCGGTCCATCCATTTTTATAAGCATGAGGTCATTGAGGGTTAGCTCGACGGTCTCGGTTAAAGGTCTAATTTTTGTCCACATGTTGATGAAGCCAACGAAGGACTTGCGTCCGAGATGACACTCTCACTCACGGAAGTAGATTCTGGACTAACATTAGTCGTAGGAAGGAAAAAGGAATCTATCCTTGTTTTGGGTTTACTAGTATTAGTTGTCATTATTGTGCGTTTTATTTATTTGCTGCGTAAGTAAAGAAAACTTGTAGTGAAGTGAATGTAAACAACGCAGTGCCACACAAAAGGGGGTAACTGTGTTTTATAGTCTCGAGACTCGATCTTTCGGTCGTTTTTTAATGCGTAACATTGGAACATTGACTGATTTGCGACTTATAAGATTGAGACTAGAGTAATTAATGTACTAAAAATAGACACTCCATCGAGTCTATCGAAAGAAGCGTTGAACGAGACGATTTCAAGTTTAATATTAGCATATTTACGAAATAACACTCTCTAAAATTCATTCGCCAAATTTTTCGCAGTATCATCACTTTATTCGCCAATGAAAATAATTGTCGCCATTGGCGAATGTCTAGGGCGGTCACTGGGCATCGATCAGAATGCCAGGTTTCGATGTGCTATATATGGAGCATTGACAGCAAACAGCTCTGGCTTCTGTATCAATTTGCCCATCTTCATTAGTCTAGTATTATAGGAGCAGAACAGTAGGATGTTAAAACCCATTTTATTTCATCACTGTATCAATGATAAATTCCGTTGAAATAATGACGATTAATACGGCTAATAATTATCTTATGTGGTTCCATGTTAAATTAATGAAGAAAAATATATCTCAAGAACTTTTGGCAGTATGCCATACATAGTATCAGTACCATAAGTCTTAAATTTAGATTAAATTATAGAAACATAGATTGAATTCAGTTATTGTTTTGTGTTTATTTTAATGCATACAGTATCAATTTTAAGATGCTTAGATTAAAGATGGAGGTGTTAATTTCCAGAGTTCATTCTCCATGTAGATACATGTATAAATAAATTGTTCTTTTCAAATCCAGGTTTTCAACACCTGTTTTATGATAGGTAGGCTCAAATTGTTCTGTCTATAAGGCCGTGGTTAATTAATTGTTTGTTTCTCATGACCTGTGTTTGTGAAATATACATGCTACATGAGGTAATTATTTATTATTGAGATGGAATTTAAAAATTTTGAGTTTAATGCTGTTTCTATTTCAGTTACTTCTAATGTCGGTTACTTTGGTCATTGAAAACCAAATGGTAACTGGCGTTTTCGATTTATTCACATTTAATAAAAAAATTTATTGATTAAAATATATGTTGCAAAATAGCCGGGCATCGGAAGACTTGATCATAATACATGTAATTGGTCTAAATTATTAGTAATACAATGTACGCTTCATCAAAGTATTCACATTTATTAGTATCTTTGTATCCTTTTGAGACTGTGTTTATAGAGTGCCGTGGTTAATAAAATACCGTGAAGTAGTGTCAATTAGTCAATAGGCTTACCTCATGATCGAGACTATCTCAGGCAGCAGTTTTGGAACCGTTGGTCACAGAGTGCTAGTCACGTCAATAAAATATTTAATCACTAATTTAAAGACATTTATATCTTTCCGTCAATTTTATTATCCCGCGCCGAACGAAGTTAGGGAGGGATATTGAAATGGGGTCCGCCCGATTTCGTTTCCGGGGCATATCTCATAAACCGTTCAAGATATCTTTCTGAAACTTTGGGACACAATAACTTTAGTTCTAATTCAGTGAGAGTGAGGACACTTGGTGTATAGTTTTATCATATTATTACCTGGACTAAGTTCGATGATGAGAATTGTCTGCTTAGGCAAAGGAGCGATAAGCAATTTGATTGGTCAAGACTTTGGAACATAACAACTCTGCTATTAATTGAGGTACATGTAGAATGTATAAACTTGATGTAGATGTTCATTAGGTGAATGTCTTGACAGTTCAATGAGCTAAGCAATTTCGTTGGTCAATGCTTTAGGACAAAATAACTTTGATTCTATCTGATAGTGAGGGATGAAACTTATTGTATAGTTGATAATCAGTTTGATTGCTTGATACTTTTGAAAAAAAAAAAAATGTGCGATTATTTAATGTGTCATCTATTTATTTTGGGATTTCGGCGGGGGACATCATCCTCACTGTTGGCTTGTTTTTATACGCCCACATTGAAATGTGGCCTTATATATTGGTGTCGCCCCTGTCCGGCAGTCCAGCGTCCTCAATAGCTTGTGGAGGCTCTAGAAGCCAAAGTTAATATCCGATTGACCTGAAATTTATACACAGTGTTTAAGGTCTTGAGAAGAAGAAGCTTATTGATTTTCAGCGATTTCCGATAATTACTGCCAGAGTTATGGCTCTTGATCACTTAAAAAAATCTTGTCGACGCTCTAGAGACCAAAGTTAATATCCGATTAACTTAAATTTATACAGTGTTTAAGGTCTTGAGAAGAAGAATCCTATTGATTTTCAGCGATTTCCGATAATTACTGCTAGAGTTATGGCTCTTAATCACTTTGAAAAATCTTGTAGACACTCTAGAGGCCAAAGTTAATATCCGATTAACTTATATTTATACAGTGTTTAAGGTCATGAGACGAAGAAGCCTATTGATGCTCAGCGATTTCCGATAATTACTGCCAGAGTTATGGCCCTTGATCACTTTGAAAAATCTTGTGGACGCTCTAGAGGCCAAAGTTAATATCCGATTGACTCTAGAGGCCAAAGTTAATATCCGATTGACTCTAGAGACCAAAGTTAATATCCGATTGACTTTAAATTTACACACAGTGTTTAAGGTCATGAGACGAAGAATCCTATTGATTTTCAGATTGATACACAGTGTTTAAGATCTTGTGACGAACAAGTATATTGATTTTCAATGAATTTTTATGACTTGAACAGCTAAATCCATGATATTAAAAGTTTTGTATACAAAACATTAGCATGGGGCAGAACTTTATAAAAACCAAACAAATTCTAATGGTTTTCTGATAATTACTTCATGCTCTTAATCAGATTATAGTGTATTATAAATGTTTCATTACCGAAAAAAGTAAAAATATGCGACAACTCTTGTTGACTGCCCGGACGATTTAGCTGCTGTGGGCGTATGTTTCGTTGCCTGGCAACCTATCTTTTTAATTATTATTAATATTTTACATTCAGCTCCTTATATTGAAAACTTTTCAAAGTGTCTAATAAATCTAGTGAATTTAGTAGCCTACATGTATATGTAATTTAGACTATTTTTTCTGAGTCAGACTTCCAGTAGATCTTTAATTTGGCTTATTATAGTATAAAAATGTCTCATCTGTTAAGGTTGGCATTGTATATTTTTGACAGTTCTTTATCTTTAATCAATAAATTAGAATATTAAGAAGGATTAATATGATATAATTTGAAGGGTAATAGGATTTATGTCTAGCTACTGATATTTGTCATTGAATATAATAAGCTAATTAATGGTGATTAATAACTATAAAATTCTATAAGGGTACGTATTTTTGTGTTGCTAATAATTAGGCTTGCAGCTGTAAAATTTAGAAAAGGATTAATCAAACAAGTATTTTTAAATGCCCACATTTTCATGTGGACGTATATTGTCCTTGCCCCTGTCCG